AGATACCCTAGTTTAGATCCCCAGATGCAGCTGGCTCCATCCCTAGCCTTCTCTTTGAGACTGTGGTCCTCATTCTTATTGACTGTTTCCCCGGCTTACATTATAACACCTGTGATGCTATAAACACCAGATACTAACAAATAGTCGTAAGATTGTGTCTTCTCATTTTTTGAGCACTAGCAAGGTACAGGCTCAAAAATAATCATAAGATTGATTCAAATTGAATTATAGGGAAGCAAAGCATTAAAGTAAAGGGAGGTGACAGGACTTATCATTAATAAGGGCAACTGAACCGTGGAGTGGTCAGCATTTTTTTGAAATCTCTGGTGCATTGTACCAATCAAGCCAAAGAGCCACAATCTAGTGTGTATTTTTAATGCAAGCTGTTCAATGTTATAGCAGCAAAATTAATGATACCCATCTCTCAGAAACCTGATCTCAGCTGACGCTATTTTATCAGGAAAATAATTTCTTATAGTTAGTTGGATGTACCAAACATATGTTTCCAGCTGGTCAGCAATCTTCCTTCTTAACCTTTAATCTGCTCCAGGCTGTTCCTACAGATTACCAGACAAATGATGTTCTGAGAATTATGGGTCTCTGCAGTTGAAGGAGGCAGCTTCATTGTTACTATTTGGAGGGTTGCCTCCCACTGAAGGTCAGTGTGGGTCTCTGCTTGTGTGGGCATGGTGGTATATGCAGGGGAGCCATGTGCACTAAGGGAAATGGTTTTGTGTATGCATGCTTTTCTTTTAGTGTGGGTTATCAAGCTGAATCTTGAAAGTGTCATTATACTTGTTCAGAAGGGAGGCAGAGAGAGGGCCCTAATTTTACAAGTACATGGGGATTTCTTTCCCCTCTCTTAATTCTTTCTTGAAGAACACCACCCTCCAAATCCGGAGGTTTCATCTGCTTTTAAGCTGGAAGCTTCTTCTTTAATGGCTTTGTGACTCACAGGGCTCGGGTGATGGTTGCTTTTTCTGTGTATAGAACTATAATCCTTCTCAATTATCAAAGACATAAATTACTATTATTTCCTTACCAGATCGAACATCTTGCTTAAATATGTGAAAGAAAAATTGTTGGTTGTCTGGTGAATTTTCCTCTTGGAAAAACTGCCTATTCTTAATCTACAAGTTCAATGAAAGTTCAAAAGTTTATCAGTGCAAACTCTATATTCTAATAATTCATCAACCAGCTTCTGCATCCACATCAGTAGACTCCAGGTTGAGACGTTTTTGTCTTTTCTCCCATGTAAAAGTAATCAAACAGCACATTTCCTGGGCATATCACAAATACCTATTGATCATAATCAGAGCACAGATGGTATGAGAGAGCTTGGCTGACACACAGGCCCTGATGTCAATCACAGGAACAAATTGATTTTGACTGCCTGGTCACGATTCTTCTACCCCAGCAGAATTCCATTCAGTGCTGTGTTTGGAGAATTTTGAGCAGACAGCATTTCTGAAGGGGTGTCATAGTCCAAAGTTAATGTAGAGGTAAACTTGATTATGCCAAAATGGTGATTTTAATGTACTTCATACTTACCTTTACCACAAGAAGGTCAATATCTTTCTCCTGTGTTGAAAGAGCCTCATCAATTTAAAATTTATCCTGATTTATGTCTGCTAATTAGGGGAAAGGAAAATACCGATTTGCATTCTTTCATGACAGTATGCGGTGCCATTGCTACTTTTCTCCAACTGGATTTGTTTTCTTACTCAGTTTTTAAAACTTAATTATTTTGTTTTTTAAAGATGCCAAATCGATGTTTATTTCTAAATTTTACAAATTATTCTCTTTAAAATTTCAAAACAAATGAAACTTTTACCAAATTTGTAGTTCACTTGCACTCCATGGATCTAGATCCCTCATTTAATTTTCTTCCCGTTCCTACACTTCTTATGCTAAGCAATACTTATTTTATATTATAAGATTTCTTAAAAAAAAAAAAAACCCTGATATTTTCCTGGCCCAGAAGTACCTTTCCAAGCCCTCTTACCTTGGTGCATATTATTTTTATTTCCCTATACTCCTTCCTTCACCTGACTCCCCACTCCTCCTCCCTTCCTCCTCTCTCTCCTCCTTCCCCATCCTCCCTCCCTCCTCCTTCCTTCCTCTTTCCTTCCTCTTCCTTCCTTCCTTCCTTCTTCTTCCTTCCTCCCTCCCTCTCCCTCCTACCCTTCCTGGGGTTATCCCTGATGCAGGGATCCCTGCCATCTCTACATGGGAGCTCTGTGCAGGCAGGTGATCTATATGTAAATTATGTTAAGTAAAACCTAATAATTTTCATTAAAATTATTAAAACACTTATGCTATCAGTCTTTCCCTTATGACCTGAGCATAGCTATGTATGCTGGAGAATAACGCAGAAAGAGAGGGCCAATACCCCCCAACACCGTTGTAAAATCCTCTGTGAGAGTCAGATAAGAAGGCACCTTCTTTGATACCATCCATTACTGTCCATTACTTTACTGCTTCATACATCAAGACTGCCAGGACAAGTTCAATAGGGAATGAGTCTGACTCTATCAGGGAAGGGGTTTGGAATTTGAATGAAGAATGGCTTGGAGACCAGCCTGTTATGTCGTTATTCCCAGCTCCAGCCCCAGGCATGTTTCCCACCTGGTCATTCTTTCTTGTCATTTAGCGATCCTACACATATTCTCTCGAATTGCTTCCTACCTATGGTGTCTCACTGATATGGAGAGGGGAGCTAGGCAATGATGCTTTCATGTTACTTGTCTTTAAACACCTAAGCCTGTTCTACAGCCATCACTGATTGAACCAAAAGTGAATGTTTCTCTCAAGGGGAACCAATCCATAGACTGGTCTAATCCAACTAAATGCCTCATCTCCAGAATTCAAGTCCAGAGATACACAACCTGTAATCAGATACTATTGGGTGCTTGGAAGCAAAGGCATATTGGTCCTAGGGGAATCAAAGGTCACCCAGGCCTGGGTCAGTCATTTTCAGCCATGTATACTCTGATGAGTCAGTCAGTGGAGAAAGCTTGTCCATGAAGACAAGAAAGAGATCAAAGCTGGCAAAGAGATGAGAGATCTCAGGCCCATATCAGGAACAGAAGAGTAACCCTGGCTCTGGGGTTTGCAGTATCAGACTTGTCAGAATTCCTGTGGCCCAGCTCCCCTAGCTCTTGTCCTGGAATGCTCTTATGCTTGCCTGCAGTGCTTTTGAATTGGTCCTTGCTTTTCTTAAACTGGCTTGAATGAGTTTCTGTTCTTCATAACCAAATACGCTTTGTCTAGAAAGTCTCCTGTTAGAGAGATTCAGATGGAGAATTTTAGTCTCCTTCATTGCCCTAGTTCTGTGCCTGGGAACTCTAGGAGATCATGTGTTCTCTTCCATCCAGCTGAGTGCAATTTCACAAGACAGACTATGCTGGGAGAAGAACATATTATTCTTTAAGTGTTCAAATCTCTCAACTTCACCTTTAAAGTCCTTGACACTCATCCTCCACCTCTCACTCTGATGATTGTCCTGCTGTGGCTCTGACCACTCACTTAAACCATCTGCCTTATTAATTGTTCCCTCTGGTAGATGAAAGATGGCAAAACTTTTTTTTTTTATGGCTATTTTTCCCATTGAGAGATGGAGTCTAATTCCCATTCCCTTGAATATAGGCTGGACTTCAAGACCTGCTTAAACATCGGAATGTGGTAGGCATGATGTTTGGGTCTTCTAAGGCTAAGTCATAGGAAACCTTGCCGCTTTTGCCTGTGTCTCTGGAAACAATCTCTTGGAACCCTAAGCTGCCTTGTAAGAAATCATGCTACCCTGAGGTTGCCATACTGTGAGAAGCCCTAGACATGGGGCAGATAATAGGGAGTGAGGAAGGTGGGGAGGGGGTGGGGCGAGAGAGAGAGAGAGAGAGAGAGAGGGAGAGAGAGAGAGAGACCACAGACTCCAAGCACCAAACTTATGAGTGAAGAAGCAATGTTAGAAATGGACCCTAGTGCCATGTAGAGCAGAGATAAGCCACCCAGCTGAGCCTTTCCTGAATGACTGCAACACAAAAATTGTGAGCAAGATATAATTTTTATTTAATCCACTTAATTTTGAGGTAGTTTGTCACACACCAACAAAGAACCAGAATATTCCTAGTCATCTCAGAGGTATTTCAGTCTCATTCCATTTCCATATAGCATTCTGTAGCCCAAGGACACCCTCTTCCTTCTTATCATCTCTAAATCTTTTGATGATCAGGACAAGAATATCCCTTTCTGATAGGCTTTTCTGATTTCTCCTCTCTTCTGCAGTGTGTTTGGCCAAAGCTACTCTTGGAACCCTTAGCTTGGGCAATCTTGCGTGCCTCTTTGATATGTTTTAGACTGTTGTGTCCCAAATCCCCAAGGGCAGAGCCTATTTCCTACTCTTTTTTTTTTTAATCCCTCTACATTTTGGCAGAGCCCTGAATACAAACAATTCAATCTGTGTTAAGACTCCTAAATACTCTTGTCTTGAGGCTAAATAGCCCTAATCTCTTTAATCCAAATTTATATTGGCACTAATCAAAGGCTTGTCTGTCCAATTACACATTTTCAATTAGGTATTTAGATTAAATTAGGTAAATTGAGGTAGCTTTTACTTTTTATTCTCAGATTATATATAGACTTTAAACATTTGGGGTGGGTGGGAAAAAACCCCAAGGAGAACAGAAAGAAATTCCCATGTAATGGGATAAACAATGGGCAGAATCAAATGACATGCTGTAGGTCTGTTTGCTTGTCAACACATGCCTGCATCATTTACGGGAGGTCAGGGTCAAACTCTACATTTATAGTTTTGTTCTAGCTAGGGTGAGTGTCTTTTAACCGCTTCACCTCTTTCTGAAACCTGTTTTGTTTGGACTTCTCCCAGCCCACCACAATGAACTTTCCCATGTTCTCAGGACTTTTTTTTTTTCTTTTCATTTTCATTTTCATTTCCATATACCCCTTGGCTTCTCTTTCATATGTTACATTCTTCTTTGCAGTGTTCAGAAAACTCATTAGCTTCCAACCTTCTCAATTAGGCAGAACAAACATGCATTACTCCAAATTGCCCCGCACTGCAGTAGAGACAGAGTTCAAGCAGAATGTTGGCCCACCACCCAAGGATTTGACCACTGAAGTTTACTTCCCTTCAATCAAATTTAGATCAGATCTTCCTGTAGTTTTCTGTGTAGGTAATGAAGCTCTTATCTTCAGTTCTCAAAGGATCACTGTTTCCTTTTCTGTATATATTTGTTTGTTTTACTCATGGTGAGTACTTACCTATTATTATATGTGTATCATTCATTTGTGGAATCATCTGCTGTCAGATTTTCCCATTTTTCTTAACCTAACAATCACAAAATCAGCCACATATCTGATAGCAGAAGAACCACATTGAGATGCAGAGATCTTTTTAAATGGTGCAAAAGAGAAGGGACACGTTTAAAATGCTCTCCTTCTTAAATGATTCTGTTTAAAAAACTGTGAAGCTATTGCACTCCTCCTTAGAAATTACAACTGTACAAATTCTAACTTTTCCCAGTGCTCAGGCACACGAGAGACAGGGAACATTCACCACATTCTATTCGTGTTCATAGGTCGTGACTAAGATAAATAGATTTTAGAGAAACATTGATGTGGGTGTGCTCCAAGTGGGAGGAATTTCATGTTCCAGTCTCCCTGCTGAATACCTAGAATATTAGAGGCTTTGTGAAGTTTGTGCTTGACTCCTTTTAAAGGAGGATATGACTGAGGTCATAGTGCGATAAATCTCTGACATGACTGTGTGAAGGAATATGGATCTAAGCAGAGAGAAGCAAAACAAGCTGAAGTGAAAAACTCGAATGCATGAGGACATTCTTACAAGTAAGAGGCAATTGAGGGGATGAGTAGTAGCTTTTACAGAGGAGGTGGCTAAGAATTCACATTTCAAGCAGGAATGCCCTGAGCCTTCTCTTTCTCACCTGTTGTCAGTTATACCACCACACAGGGACATACACAGAGAGCTGATTTATTCTTAATATCCAATCTGTTGCCAACTGTTCACTCCTCTTCATCAGAATGCTCACTTATGACATAGTCTTCAGTTCCTTAGCAACAAACTGTCATGTCACCCTGGTGAAATTCTGGTCAGCTGAGAGGAAAAGGAAATGCTGAATGGTGATGGAGAAAATCTTTATTTTAATTACAAATGTGTATGTATAAGAGCTGAAAAGACAATATGAAAAGGCAGGTCAAGGAAGCTACATTTGAACAAGTGTTTTTGATTAAGGTTTATGTGGGCACAGAAGTCCCCTTTAAGTTCTTTTTATTGAATAATTTCCCTTTGATCCTTGAGTAACTAAAAGAAAACCCAGCACTTGACATTAACCTGGGACTCAGAGCCCCGTGGTGGGATTCCTTTGCCTGCCCGCTCCAGCACAAAACAGCCCTGCCCAGCACCGTGGGAGCACATTCATCTTTATTTCCCAACCGGGCTTTTCCTCTTCCCCCCTCTCCTGGGTGAGAATGGAGGACAGTCAGCTGAAGCAGTCATTCTATGTGTACTTTTTCTTTACTTGCGATCAACTTCAAAAGAGGCTGGTCAGGAGACACCAATGACAATGTAAGAAAATGAAGATTGTCCCAGGAAGTATGGCCCCAGAAAAAGAGCAGAGATGACCAGACATGGGAGGTATTGAGAATTCTATCTTTTCTCCCTGTCTTAATTGTTAGGAATGATATAAAAATCATTTCTTTATTTTTGGCTTTGTGGATAAAACCAAATCATTGAAATGAGAACATAATTAAAAGGGAAAAATGCAGAATTCTTTTTTAAAAAAGATAGATGAAGGGACAGAAAGGAAAGAAAAAAGAGACAGAACCCAAGCAAACAAACATTATTTAAACAACTTGGAGCATGCTTTTTTTAAAACACAAAAAGCAAAAAACAAAAAAACAAAACCGTATCAGTGCCATTTACCTGAATTCCCAGTTTCCGTATTTAAATGTCTGATCAGTCATTCAGTTCCAATACAGACATGATGTTTGAAGGCCACTTTGTAATGGTTTTACCCTGGTTCAGATTATTTGTGATCCAGGGGGAAAATGTGCATTCTGTGCAAAAGCAAATAGAAAACATATCTGAGCACAAATCAAAAGAATGATTACCACACTCATGCTCTGTACCCATTACGGGGTCCCCAAGGCTCTCATTCTGTTTGTCTTGGCACTTTTTCTTCAGCTGCTTTGGTTGGACTGGGTGGGAAAAACAACAACAACCCACAAAACCCTAGGCAGAGAATGAGGCTGGTGGAAATGGGTAACATGAAAAGATGTGACATCCTTCAAGGGCTTGGCGCTTCAGACTTCACTGTGGGGGAAGCTGCTTGGGGAGACCTCCTCGGGCTCCCACGGAGGTCGTTGCTGAGTTTGTGTCAGGAAGTGCCTGACCATTAGTGGGAGGGGCAACCCGGCTCTCATTTCAATCTCTAGCAAGCTCTCAGTGGGTAATGAAAAACAGCATTTGCACAAAGTGGAGAGAAAAGGCATTGTTTCTATAGCATATTATACTTTCCACTGCTCAGGGGACAACATTTCATAACCTATAAAAAGAATTATCTATATAACTTACTGTGCATGGCAAAAAAGTTGCAATGTGGCTTTAAAAGAGCTGTCTCCAACTGCAAAACACACTCTATCTCTCCCACTCCCCTCTGACAGAATAACCTGTGTTTATAAGCAAATCCACTCAACCCCTTAATGATGACCTAGAATAAACATCTGACATACACTAGCTTTCAAGCTCTTCTGTGTTTAGGCATGAATTGTTCATTTCTATGCCTTTTGTATCCAGCCTGAAGGAAAGACAAATGATACAAGGGATGATTTACATTATCAGTGGAGGCAGAGGTTATGTCTGTGTTTATCTGATCCTCTTTTATTGTGTAACTAACAGTGAGATATCTAGCCTTCTGCACAATGACCATTTAATTTGAGCCACCCACCCTATGTCCATGTTGACTTCAATTTTAAAATATATTAAAAAGACAAGCCCTTGCATAGTAACACAAGGTTTATTTGGTTCAGGCAGGCATGTAGGAAAGGTATGGATTTCTCATTTAGTGTTAGGCTTCCTCCGCACTTACCTTTCCATAAAGTCTGCAAGAGTATTGCCACTGGGGCTTTCCTCTCTAATTGCACTAGGAGAATTGGTACTCCACTTTACAAGGATGATGTGGATTCCCAGCTCTTGTTGATCCTGTACTCTTAGTAGAGCATGGGAAACTTGGAACAAATTTACCTAGCATCAGAAAAGACCACAGGAAGTATGCATGAGCCTGGAGAACAGGTAAGCTTGCTTTTCCTTGAAGAAAAATCCAGTCATCTCAAAAACTGTCAGTCTGGCTTGGAAGATAATTTCATGAAACCAACCATAGGCCTTCAGGGCAACCTATACCACAATTGAACATAGTGTCCCAAGGTGGTATTTACTAAATATCCCCTTTGGGGCAAACTACCCATTCTTATGTAGTAGGAATTGATTTCTAAAGGGAAAAAATGCTTTTAAGCTCTCTAGGATCTGTCTAGTCATGTGGGTGCCAATCTTTGTTGTTTTATTTTTTTATTTTTCATTTTTTTATTATACTTTAAATTCTAGGGTACATGTGCACAATGTGCAGGTTTGTTACATATGTATACTTGTGCCATGTTGGTGTGCTGCACCCATCAACTCGTCATTTACATCAGGTATAACTCCCAATGCCATCCCTCCACCCTCCTCCCACACCACAATAGGCGCCAGTGTGTGATGTTCCCCTTCCAGAGTCCAAGTGATCTCTTTGTTCAATTCCCACCTATGAGTGAGAACATGCGGTGTTTGGTTTTCTGTTCTTGCGATAGTTTGCTGAGAATGATGGTTTCCAGCTGCATCCATGTCCCTACAAAGGACACAGACTCATCCTTTTTTATGGCTGCATAGTATTCCATGGTGTATATGTGCCACATTTTCTTAATCCAGTCTGTCACTGATGGACATTTGGGTTGATTCCAAGTCTTTGCTATTGTGAATAGTGCCACAATACTTTCAAGTCATCTTAATCTCACTGCAGGAGATCTCTATGGAACTCATGGAGATGGAGTGGTGGTGGAAGATAAGCTCATGGAGATACAATGATAGTGATGGTGGAAGATAAGATGGTTCCATATATCAGGTCCTATGCCCTTCTTTGAATATGCTCAAAGAATATGGGGTCAGTTTGGGGTCAGATGAAAGAAACACACTCCACCTAGTTGCTCTGAGGAAACTATAGAACCTGGACAGAGCGTATAAGGAACACAAAAATTAAATAGTAGAAAACAAATTGAGGAAAAAGGCCAGAATTTGGAGTATCACTGAACTTATGGTGAATTTATTATTTTTCCTCTCTGAGGTCTCCCATTTTGAACACAACGTGGCCTGAAAGCCAGAAGTGGGCACCAGGGAGCAGAGAGAACTCCAGGAGAAGCTGGTTAAAGGAGTGGGAGATTCTAACTCTCAGAAAGAGTGCAAAAATCCATTATTACTTTTGTATTTTCTCAGTTCCTTCATACCCCAGCCCCCAAGCAATCTCTTAATGGCAGCAATAGGAACAAAGGAAGCAATGAAGAGCAGAATCAATGAAATTGAAAACAGAAAAATAGTAGAGGAGAAACAAAGAACCCAAAAGTTGGTTATTTGCAAAGATCATTAAAATTGATGAAACTGATGGGCCTTTAATAAGATGAAGTGGGGTGGGGGAGAGAGGAGGATGAGGAGGAGGAGACAAAGGGGCGGGGGAGAGAAAGAGAAAGAGAGAGGGAAAGACTAGTATTATTGATATCAAGAATGAACGAGAAGATACTGCTATAGATCCTACATATCACAATAAAAAAACAAGCATCAGGGAATACTACAAACAACTCAATAAAAAAACAAGCATCAGGGAATACTACAAATAACTCTATGCACATAAATTCAACAACTGAGAAGAACTATACCAATTCCTTGAAAAGCCCAAACTACCAGAACTCTCAAGATAAAATAGATAACCTAAATAGTTCTATAACTATTAACAAATGGAATTTCTAGTTAAAATTCTTCTGAAAAAAAAAATCTACAGGGTACAGATGATTTCACTGATTAATTCTCCTAAAATTTAAAGAAGAAATGAGATCAACGCTACACAATCT